ATTTAGGACAGGGGTAGGCAACCTGTCCCCTTTAAGGACCGAGGGACTTCAGCTCCCAGAATCCCAGGAGCTATTGGCCAACATGGGACTATTGGCCAACATGGCTGAGGCTTCTGGGAGCTGAAGTCCCTCAGCCCTTAAAGGGGACAGGTTGCCTACCCATGGTTTAGGATTAGGATTGAAAGTGGCGCACCAAGAAATGGATTTCTCTGTAAAAATCCTGTGGTATTGGTAGTTTCTCTGCAAACTTGATGGCATGTTTGAGTGTTGAGCTATAAAACTTCCACTTATGCTCAGCCTGTCTAGTTGTACATAAATGCAAACACAACCAGATGACATCAGAATCTACTTACCTACTCTGAACAAAACTAGAATCGTAAGTAAATGCTTTCACCTTTCATCGTAAGTAAATGCTTTCACCTCAGACAACTGATATGAGAGGCGCAGCAGAATAGTTATGGCTACATGTCAGCCATTCAATTGTCAAGGAGATCTTTGGACAGTATTTTGTGACCCGTTAGCTGTGTTCTCTTGATGGTAGTTGGTCTTTGGAATCATCACTAGAATATCATCTACAGTGAAAGGAAAGTTCCATGGAATTGCAAAGTTGGAAGGGACTCCAACAGTCATCTAGTTTATTAAACTGAACTTTATAACTGGGAGAGGGAACAGATGAAATCTCTACATCTGGCTATGTGGCATAAGAGAGGGAGAGAGGAAGAGATGGTAACAGGATGTGAAACTTTGGGCCTAAGCAGAGGGCTTATTGGGCCGTCTTCGGTGCAGGGAAGGGGAGGGGCAACCGCACGCTCGGCACCCCCTCCACCTCCCGAGGTCGTCCTCGGAGCAGCTGGCCCTCCACATGGCTGGCGCTTCGAGGAGGATCTCCCGCCGCAGCGTTCAGACATGCTGCGGCAAAAGAGTCGCCGAAAGTGCGCCACAGCCTTTTGCGGCGCACTTTCGGCAACATATGAAAGAAGCGCTGATGGGGATGCCTCGGTCCCGTACCGCACCTTCCCAGGGCGGCCCACAGCCGCCCGTCTGCTTAGGCCCTAAGCCTAAGAGTAGTCTATAGGTGAGTCAGTAACACAGCAGACAACTCAAAGGGCTTGTTCCCACTACAAATAACCCAGTGTGGAAACTGGATTATTTTGTGATCGAATCTCTCTGGGCCGTTTACTCCCCTTTTAATCCCCTTTGTCATTCACACTTGAGGAGAGCGACTGCCACAGAGAGAACCTGAAAGCACACAACAACAAATAGAGGAGGGGCTGGCTTAAAGAAGCCAGCAAAGCCCCCAGAGTACCGGGGCTTAAGTCAGAAGCTGGCAAGAGCTGATGCAGCTCCCAGAACACTGAGGCTTAAGCCAGAAGCTGGTAAGAGCCGGTGCAGCCCCTGGAGCACCAGGGCAGGCTGAAAGAAGCCAGCAAGAACTGGTGCAGACCCCCGAAGCGAATCTGACCCATTGTTCTCACTTATTGAACACAGATCGGATTCGGGTCTTTTCAAAAGAACCGCCCAAAAACTAGTGTCAGGAAAGAGCGGTTCTTTTGTGTTTGTCTTGCTTCAGTGCGATTTACACCGAGCACAATAGGATCGGAACTGGTTTCATATGGGAACGACGGTCATATAACCCAATCAGCAATTCGGGTAAAATCCTAGTGGGAACGAGGCCCAAGAAAAAACACATCTAGGAAGCCCAACTGTCTTATCTATCTCTATGGCCTGAAACAGCCTGAAAAATGTGGTTTCCAGCCATGTTCAGGGCATAGCATTTAGAGGATGCAAGCCCTGAATGTGAAGGAAAACCACGTCAGACCCATGTCTTCCCAAAGAACCACCTCAAAAAGGAGCGGTAAAATACCGCTCCTTTTTCCAGCCTGGTTCAAAACCACGGCAGCGGCCCAGATTGGGACCAGGTGTGTGAGGTTGCTGCAGCTCCAATGCGAAACATGCCAACACAGCCACCACTGCATTTTTTGGCCCGTCTGTTTCAGGCCTATATCTACTGCTATTCTAAGCAAGTGTGCAAGCATGTTTGCACATCTGTCACTTCCAACAAGCTACTGTGGGACATGAAATGGAGCATCACATCATCCCATGCTTGGGGTTAGAACTGTTGAATTGTACATTCACTGCAAGAGCTCCACATGTATTCATGGTTCAACTAGGAAAGCTACTGTTATCACAAATAAAAATAAAACTCTTGCATATGCTTTTTTTTTTGTAGCCTTGGTGGTGCAGTGGTTAAATGCCTGTACTGCAGCACTCATTCACAAACCACAAGGTTGTGGGTTCAATACCAGCCAGGGTCGACTCAGCCTGGCATCCTTCTGAGATTGCTAAAATGAGTACCCAGATTGATGGGGGCAATTAGCTTACAGATGTAAATGCTAAGAAAATGCTTAGAGTGTATGAAGCAGTATATAAATGAAGCTGCTATTGCTATATAGCAAATACTGTCAATACATAACCACACTCACAGAAATTAAATGGTGAGAAAATGCCAGAAAACTAAATGTCACTTAGCAAATTCTACTAATATTCAAGTATTTTACATGCAGGGTATCTGAAAACAAGATGGATAATCCATCTATAATATTAATTTTATTCATGAATACTTGGTACAAGAATTAATATGACACATATCTGGCAGATTCTGGGCACTGCAAAGTAGCCTGTCCAAGCACTGAGCACACCTTCAGGTACACACATTTCTGAAAGTGCTGGTGAATTTAGCAAACTAGCATTTATGGTTCTGTGATGCTGAAAACAGGATTACATGCTGAATTGACAGCATATACTGAGTTGAATTCCAGAGGGATAACTGTTGTCACAGACTTGAATAACAAGTTTTGTGGTGCTATAGAGACTGAGGGGGGAAGCAGACGGGAGCTTCCCGTGCGCCGCGGGACGGAGCGCCGCTGGACCGCGGCAGCCGCACCGCGACGCACCGTCGGCGACCCAGGAAGGAGCGCTAAATCAGCGCTCCTTCCTCAAGACAGCGAAAGTGCGCACTAAAAGCGGCGGGCGCACTTTCGCTGTCTTTTCCGCCGCGGCGCGTTCGGCTGCCGCGGCGTGAGGTCTTCCCCGGAGCGCCGGCCGTGCGGAGGGCCAGCGACTCCGAGGGCGACCTCAGGGAGAGGAAGGGGCGCCGAACGTGCGGCTGCCCCTCCTCTTCTGGGCCCGGAAGACGACTCAATTAGTCGTCTGCCGAGGCCCTGAATCTGTATGCACACTATTTCTATCACTGATCTGTGGTATTGTTTTAAAGGAACCAGGGCAGTTTCCTTCCAGCTCCAAGCTGTCTTGGAAGATGCTGATTATCTGGATCCATTTCAAACCGGCTTCAGGGCGGGATACGGAGTTGAGACTGCCATG